AGTGTAAATGCTCGCTTGGTGGCTTGGTTAAAAAGGAATGGAGGCGTTCGGCCCTGATTGAATTACGACTATTTCGACCAAATTTTTCTTGGGCTGTTCATTCTTACCGGACCCCGTATTCTTAAGAAGCCGCTCACATTTAATTAAAGACAACTTTCAACAATTATGATCAAATTTAAGATTTTTCATCATAATTGCCGTAACATAAAGATCAAGTAGATATGTATATTCATTTGTTTTTAAAACGGGCCGTCAGTGACCTTCTGTTTATCCTCCGCAGAGTGCGACTGGCTGTACCAGGACTTCACGTGCACGGGCGGCTGCGTCCTGGCGAGCCCCGGCTACCCGGGACTGTACCCCGGCGGCCTGAGCTGCGGCTACCTCGTGACGGCGTCCTCGGTGCGCGCCAAGGTGACCCTGGAGCTGCTCGCCGTCAACCTGCCCCTCGCGTGAGTACACGTACACACAGCGCCCTCTCTCTTCATTTCCGCCCGCCCGACCGCCGCCGAGCCGGTCCACCGGGAGCGCCTGTGGGCGCGGGGGTAGGCCACCCGCCGCACGCGGCTGCCCTCGCGTTGCCTAGCGCGGCCCCCGCAGGCGCGCTCACCCGAAGGACGTCGCGGAGGACGGGGCTCTGCTGCATTTCGTACTGTCAACGCGGCCCCGCAACACTGTGTAACCAAGGGCGTTTCGACAAAGCCCCGAGGGAACGGCAAACGCTTTGAACCAACCAAAACCGTGACAACGACGCTTTGGATCGCTCCCTCAGGGCACGACGCTCGGGCAGTCGGCGGACCTGGTGTTGTTGAGGAGGATCGTGTCCGCCGGCCCGGTCCAGGTGCCGGGGATTAGAGTGGCGCCCGGTGGCGCCGGGACTCGGTCCGATAGATCATGTTGCCGCGACAGTCCCCCGGCCAGCTGGGTCTTATGCCGCCACCCGCGCCCGAGGCCTACCGGGATAAATTTTTGCTTTTCTGAGCCCCCTGCTTGCCCCCGTACCTTATTTCCTCGCGTGTATTATATTATTTTTTCTCGTGACGATTCCGTTTGCGATACCACCTCGCGTAATCATTATTTATTCGCTGCGAACCATTTCGGTCACCGAAAACGTGCCGGGCAGGGCAAAACAGGGACTTGAAAAGGGAAGGGGGGGGGCGATATGGGGTGCAGCATTGTGCTGGCCGCTCCCGCCCTGTCCGCCCCGCCCCGCCCCGCCCGCTCCGGTTTCATTCCGCCCCACTACTGTATCTATTGGCCTCCTGTTTTGCCGACTAATGTGATATTTGTGCTAATGGGCGCGGCCCTGTGAACGCGCGCTGCCCGCATTCCCACCAGAGTCCCCTCGAGTAGAGAGGGCGCAGCGGCTCCAACATATAGACATGTGCGCCGCCGCGCCCCCGACAAAAAAAAAATGTTCTGTGCGGCGCGGCGTGGAGGGCCTGAAAGTCGACTTTCGTACTTGGAATCGTCCTTGAGCACCCCCAGCAGGTAGGTAGGACATCCGGGCAGTGGGCTATCAATACTATTGCACTCCGATAAATGTACGGATGAAGTCAGAATGAAACGGCTTGCGTGTTTAATGAAACTTGATTGTAATATCTCGTATGCACGCAAATCAGGTGCATCAAAATGCTTTGTAAATTGCAAAATAAGGCAGTTTGCCGCCGATGACGCCACCGCCGCCGCCGAATATTGCGCCGGCGTTGACGCCGCCGCCGCCCACCGAAATTCGGCCATACTACGCCGCCGCCGCACATGTCTAGTCCAACATATTACCAGCTCACTAGAAATGAAACGTTGCTCGTTGCTTATTTTATTTCGTAAAATATAAATAAAAACACGGACTGAAACTGAAAAAAAATGTTTCACCTGCGATTTTTTAATCGGCACGCTGCCCCCGCTCGCTGTCATATTTTTATGCTGTTGAACCTTTCTGCGCTTTTTTCTTTTTTTGTTGTTTTTACTGCATAGCAATGCCATTACTCGTTTTCCATTTGGAGCGGGACCGGCGGGACCCGTGCCGAGGAGGAAGCCGAGTTAGTCCCGCTTGATTGGGCGACCGGGTGGGGCTGCAGCAGCCAGTCCCCTCTCTCTCTCAGTTAAGACCTCACGGCAGGAGGGCCGGGGGAGGAGGAGGGAGAAGGGCGACAGCGACCATATGAGTGACGGGCCGTTACGGTGGGGGTATATGTCATCTCGTGCCATTCAGCCTGACAGAATGGATTTGGTGCAGCCGCGGCGTGGCGCGGCGCGGTGTTGGAGTGGGGCGCTCATGGGGGCGGGGGAAGTGGTTCTGGCGGTCGGAGTGGCTCTTTGCATGCACCAGCCAACCCCCGTGTTATCCCAGAGGCCCTTGTGGGGCTAAATGGACGCGCGGGACTTGCCGCGTGACCTCACAAAACGGTTCCGAATCCCCCTCCCCACCCCCTCTTTCTGCCACATATGGCGCACCCTTTTCTCTTTCTTGCCCTGCGGGTCGAACCCCGTTTCTTGGCGTGATGCCTCTCTCCGCGTCCCGTCAGCGTGCTAATCGTGATAGTAATTACTTCCGTTTCCTCCCTTCTCGGATGGGACGCGTGTCGACGCCAGGTGTACGCCTTATCATACATGTGGTGTTCAATTCAGTTCCGATTCATCGTCGGAGCAACCTTTTTCGGTTTCCCGGTCGCCAGCAGGTCGGGCCGGGTCACGTGGGAGCCACACATTTAGCGGGGTATGGTACTTCCGGTACTTCCGGTACCCGCCGTTGGGGTCCGCACCAGCCGCGACAGGGATCCGGCGATATTATTCTCAGCCCGTCGGAACCGCTCCGCAGACCCTTACTGGGGCCGGGCCGCTGCTCTTCATATAACTCGTAGGAAAAGGAAGGGAGAGAGAGCGAGAGAGAGCGAGAAGGGCCTCGAGCAGTCGGAGGCAGCACCAATCCCTGTGCGTTTCTCGCTGACGGCTGCATTTCTTCGGATTGAGGGGCCGCTGGATGGAGGGCAGGAGCAGCAGTAGGGGTGGCTGGCTGCACGCCAAGGCGGGGCGGGGCGAGGCGGGGCGAGGCGGGGCGAGGCGGGGCGTCTGCAACGGACAGCAACGACAGCCCTCCCGCGGTTGGCCCCACGGTGCACATCCGCCCGAGCGCGCGCGTCCGCAGCCAGGAGCGCAGCGAGCTGTGCGGGAAATGCTGTCGAAAATCGTACAATTACTCAGCAGGCTATCAAACGCCGTACCGAACACATGTCAGCTAGCAGCGATTCTCGCGCACTCTGCCCGTGTCCGCAGAACTGACGATGACGACGCCGTGGGTGCGAAATGAGTGCAGCAGTGTTTGCAAACTCCTTTTCCCTCCCGACCTGCCTCCCTCCTGCTCTCCGCGCCGAGGAGCGGCTCGCGAGGGGATTCCTGTCACGTGGCGTCCTGGAAGTCTAATAAAGTCCCGTGTGTCTCCAACAGAGAAAGGCCGGGGCACATTAGGGTAGCGGGGAGGGGGGCACGGCACGCCGACGGCACGGTCCACCGACTGGCATCAGACGCCGTTGATTTGAAAGGCGCGCGCGTGACTCGCGGTGCAGTCGACTTCCGGCGCGGCCTCGTGCTGACCAAACTGCAAGCGCGCAACGCGAGCACGAGCGTCTCTCCTGTCGTGTTGCTACTCGTTGTGCAAAATCAACGAAACCAGTGTGTTTTTCACACACACACACACTCACCCCTCCCGCGTTTTGTGTTCTGATATTTGATCTGGCATAACTGCCCTCGTGTTCCGAGTATCAGTTTGATTGTCGTTTACAAAAGAAAAATGTGTATTGGGATTTTTCTTTGCTTTTAAAAAAGCAAACTTGTGATTTTGATTTGTTTTTGTTTTTTATGAGGAATCAATGGTTCTTGTTTCAGCCACTGCGCCACGGACAACATTATCATTTACCACGGCTCAGGGCCCTCGGGGCTTCGAGTGCACACCATCTGCGACATGTCCAAGACAGTACTCGAGCTGCCCGGCCCCAACATCTACATTCAGTTCAAGTAAGTAATCTTCAAAAATATCAAGTTTTCTTTTAAAAAGACAACAACAACCTCATTGGTTTTGGGTTGTCTTTCCTTATTGTTAATAGGCGTTATTCCCATGCTGCATTTCGATCACGACGATCACTGTAGCGTCCTGTTGTTCCCTTTGCCCCTCTGCAGTGTTGCAGTCAGTAATCATCGTCGTGCCAATCACGCCATGCTAATTCATTCTACTGTTGCGCCCCCTTCTCTCCCTCTCTCGCTCTCCCCTTCTCTCCCTCCCGCCCACCGACACTGACCTGCTGCTCTCCCCTCCTGCAGCGCGGGGCCGTCCAAGCCGCCGTACAACTACAACGGCTTCCTGGCGCGCCTGGACTTCGGCAAGGAGGAGAACGTGCGTGGCGAGTGGCGGGAGAGCCGTCCGGACAAGAAGGAGCGCGACAAGGAGGCCAAGCAGGGCCGGGGAGAGTCGCGGGGCGAGTCGCGGGGGGAGACCAGGGCCGCCAAGACCAGCACGCCGGCCACGACCGCCACGCCCGCGCCCACCGCCCTCAGTGAGTATAAAATGTGTGTTGTGTGGGGACCACCGGGCACCACGGGGCAAGGCTCTCTATTTTCTTCGGGCAGCTCTTTCTTTGGTATCCTCTTGTTCCCCCCTCCCCACCCCCTGCCCGGAGCCTAAGTCATGTTCTGTCACTTCTCGTTCCGGCGGCATTCCATTCGCCCGAGGAGAGACAAAGGCACGGCTGCCGGGAGACTTTGCGAGATAGAAAAGCAAACGGTTCATTTCCTCCCGCCGGTCAGTTTATTGCGTTTCCTTCCGGTTCCGGGGGGAGCTGACCCGCGGGCCCCGCACGGCTGGCTACAGTTAGCCAATCACAAGCACCGCTGAGCCCACAGCGCTAAAAAAAGAAAGTACAAATACAAATTGCAGCAGATTGCAGCTCTAAATAAAATAACTTTACCTTCACGACGGCGCTTGCAGTGTAAAATTGTTAACATAGAGAAAACGACGCCTTGGTTTTCGAGCTGGTTGGATAAAACCAATCGAGCGTCTCCGGTTTGTGGTTCCTTAGAGCTCTAGGGGTCGGGGCTGCTTGGTTTTACGTGATGTCTTCAAAAGCAAGACGCTGTTTCCTCCGAGCGTAACGTTTCTGCTTTTGTGAACTCCTGGCAACTTAACTCCATTAAACATTTTTCCTAGTCTGGTGTCGAGGTTTTTTTACCTCGGTTCACAGCGGGTTGGCGGAAGTGCGGAAGCAGTGGAAAGAGGGGACCGGACAGGAAGCGTAGTAATCACCAAGAGGGAAGCATGTTTGAAACTCTGTCCACCCCCTGCAGTGGACGGCGCCTCCCGCGGCTGCGCCGTGTCCTTCCGGGGATCGGACCTCCGCTCCGGCGTCCTGGACAGCCGCCACCACTCGGGCTGCTACAACCTGTCGGTGGAGTTCCACGGGCGGCCCTCGGACATCGTCAAGCTCTCCATCTTTAACTACAAACTCAAGTGAGTGTGTCAAGCTGTTTAACCAAATTTTAGTTGTTTTATTATAATCTCAGTATAGGGTGGAGCTGATACGGTACTTCAATACGTTACTAATTAAAGTAGCTCGACTTTGAAGTGAAAATTACAATATGCAATTTCTATTAATATATCGGATGTTAATCGTCACGTGCTACAAAGTCTAAATACGAGTTTTCGATGTGAATTCTAACAATGAAACAGTAATGGTGCTTCGATAGTGCACTATCCATGGATTTCTTCGGTTGTCTCTCCTTGTCGAAACCCTGTCCGAGGAACATAAACGTACCGCTGTTTGAGACTGCTGTTTCTCCATCAAATTATTCCCCCCCCCCCTCTAAGCCGTGGACGCCTTTCAGTGGTCGCCATACACGCCGTACCCGTCCCCCCATCACCGTGAGTGACGGCTGTGCTGGCTGGCAGTGGGTAGCAAAAAACGGAGGTGCGGTCTCATATTGAGAAAGTTCGCCTCCCTGTGGTTTGCCCTTCACGTCAGGGTGCTTGAAACAACCCCGGCGCGCTCTTCCTCTCCTTTCTCTCTCTCTCTCTCTCTCTCTCTCTCTCTCTCTCTCTCTCTCTCACACACACACACACACACACACACACACGCACACAACGAATAGTGAATACTGTCAAGAGGAAGAGCGCTCAAAGCTAAGCCGTTTCCATTACCAACCTATTGCGAGTGAATCCGTTCCGTGCGGCTCCGTAAGCAAGAATACGAGGCCTCAAATGAAGCCGGGGCGCCTAGAGGGAAGATCCGCCGTATCGTTTTGCGATCAGTCGTTCTGACTTACTCTGAAGATACAATAGCATGCCCTACTTTTGCAACAGTGAGTGTCCTATGGTGTATTTTCAGTGAACAGCAGCCAAAAGGAAAGAATAAGCAAGTAACACTTCTGGTTGTTGGCTGTGTGCAGCGGGGCTGGGTGGGCTGGGTCCCCAGGCGATATCCTATACTACGTACGCGCCATCGTCGCTGTTATTGTTGCATATGCTCAGGTCGCCCCTTTTGGTACACTTCACAAAAAAATAGATCCGCAGGCTCGCCAGCCTCGGGGCCCGGTCCTGGGTCTGTGGGTCCTCCA